GAACAATTAATATGATAATACATGTCAGTTGGGATGAAAATCTGCCCAATATATTCAACAGACATATACCCCGAATATATTGGGCAGTATTTCATCCCAACTGACATATTAATTGTTCTCGAATACCACAATATTTTTTTTCCACCCCAGACATGACCTTTTCATGACCCCAGCAGTTCGAAGACGGGAATTGGCGCCTTAGGAAATCATCTCCAAATGGTCGACCAGATTTATCAATAAATCGAAGGGGAAAACAGCATAATTTCAATGGGGATTTCAGGATTTTATGGGAAAACCATGGGAAAACCATGGAAAAATGGTGATTTATATAGTAATCAATCACTGGTTGGTGGTTTGGAACATGACTTTTATTTTTCCATTTCATATATGGGAATAATCCTTCCCATTGACGAACTCCATCATTTTTCAGAGGGGTAGGTTGAAACCACCAAGCAGTTAATGTTTGGCGGATTGATTTTGCTTCAGTAACACCAGTGAAATGATTGCGTTTTTTTTTTTTGTGTGAAATCAAATAAACTTACGTCAACCTTGTGGATGGTGTTGTTCATTTGCTTCCATCAGTAGACTTTGGAACATGTTTGACGACTCATTGTCAAAAGTGCAGTAGAAGTCCTTAAGCCTTAAGCCATTCTTAAAGGGTTGTGTCTCAAAATTGTGGACCCCACAACCATTCATTTCTCAATAGCAACACTGGTTGGTGGTTTGGAACATGAATTTTATTTACCATCATATATCGTTTTTTTTCCTTCCCATTGACTTACTGGTGCTTAGTAGGGAATGAGGGAATGATCCATAATCACTATCAATAATCATCCCATTCCCCCATTCCCATCCATTCCCTACTAAGCACCAGTAAGTTGACTAATATTCTTCAAGATGGTTATTGCACCACCAACCAGCAACATGTTGAGTGGATGATGTTTGCGTCCTTCAATCCCAGGCAAACCGGTAGAAATGGCCCGGTCGACATGTCCATTTGATTTATACTTGGGTGGCCAGGGCCGATTATGGGTCGGTATAACTATGGTATATAAATGTATATAATAACCCTCATAAATTGGAAAATAAGGGGGCCCAAGACTATGGAGAAAGATAAGACATAAACATTAATGGAACTGCACCCCCATACTTCTTGACATGATTCACCATGCACAAAAATGGAACTGCTTCCCTGCGTTTCAGCAATGTCTCAAAGCAAGCCAGAATAGCCAGGTCATGCTGGAAGACTGTGTCCTGAAACTGGAGGGTCTGCTTACCCAAACAGCTCACCACCAGAAACGTTTGCGAAGGGCGCAGGAATGAGATGATTTTGGGATGCTGGCAGGATGTGTGAACACTTTAGATGGGTCAAACTCATGCAAAATCTCCGAAAATTCTGAGAATGGAGAGGACTTGTTAAATTTTTAATGATTTGGAACCATTTCTCACTTAGCAATACTTAGCAAATGATTACTCTTGACGTTCTTTTTCCATTGGGTCCGCCCGCCCACGCGACTATGTACCCCGAAATAAGATTCTATGAGAAAAGGAATCCAACCTTTTTTTGAAGGAAACCCACTGAGTGAGATTTTGGGCAAGACATTCATTCACATAGTTATTTGGATTGCTATTGGAGTGTGACTCGTACCCACATGATCAGATTTGTGTCGTGGTGTGCTGGTGGCGTGCTAGTGCTGGCCCGGAAGAGGTGGTAGACGCTGCATGGCATTTGTGATTTTCTCTCACTGTGACTCTAAACATCAGATTTGAATCAGACATTGAGTTTAATATGAGTTTAACCGTTTTCTGTATTTTTCCATTTTGGAAGGGCAACAGAAATCTAAAGATCATTTTTTTTGTGGAAATCATAATTGTTGGTGCGACCCACCACCTTAATGGCCATGTATGGCTACCTCTTAAGGGCTTTCGTGATATTTTTCTGGGAACCCCGAGATTCTAACCAGCCACAGTTGGAAAAAACTTTCATCCCAGTTCCAGTGGAACTGCAGTAGGGAGAATCGTCTCCAAGATGGCCTCTTGATTTTTTTCAACAAAAAGTGCATGATCCTAAAATGATTCTTGTTGATAAAATTGATTAATATTTGGATTCTTGATCAAATATGATATTTTAGAATCCAATTTTTCAATGTTTGTTGATTCTTGATTCTGATCCTAAAATGAAAGAGCCAACTACACAACAGTGACCCCCTCATTGCGTTCGATGACAACTATACTCTATGACATCCCGAATATTGGTTCTGTACAAAAAGATGGGCAAGTTGGCAAGTGTGATTTATGCATATTTTAGCATGGATTTACCTTTCTGTTTTTTTGGGGTTACTATTTCATCATATTCCATTTGGTTTGATGACCAGTGACAAAGCCGTTTTTGCTGATGCAATCCCATTGTCAATAATAGCAATGGAGTCCTATGGTGAAATCCAACTATATCCCATCAGCTTTTTGAAAAAAAAACATGTACGCTTAAGCTTACATTTTGAGGCCCCTCGCCCCGGAAAATTTTCCTCACATTTAGACGGGTACTTCCCAACTAAAATGGTGGTGATATTATCTCATTTGTGATGGTAATTCTATTATACGTATATATTTACCTTATAGTACACCCAACACTCTATGACAATATAGGACCTATAACTATACTCTTAAAACTCTTGGTTTTGTGTCATCCCAACCCAAAAAAATCCCCATAAGTACCGTTTGGCAGCATCTACTGTAAGAGTGCGGACATCCCATGGCTTTCACCTGGAGAAATATACCCAGCCAGACCGATTTCCGGGCTCACTGGATTCTGAAGATTTTTGAAGCAACAAATGTGTGATGGTCAATAGTTGCCTTGTATATTGGTTAATAATATTAATCTATGGTTAATCTATAGTTAGTCTATGGTTAATAATGGTTAACAATTGGAATAACAATATATATATATATTATTCATATTCCCTATGAATCCAAACACCTCCTTCTCGAAGGTACGGCTAACCCCCCAAATCATGGGCCCCAGTCCCTCTTCCTAAAGAAGGTACGGCTGGATCCATAGGGATTGGGGGATGGTTCAATGGGAATTTCAAGATCCTAAAATGGAGGTACGTTAGTACGATATGTTTGGCCATATTTTCTGGTGATATTTCCTTAAAAGTAGGCCTAAAAAATAGGCCAAACATACGGAAACGACATTTAAATATGTGGAGGGCGAGCCAGACCGCCAGGCCCCGGAGGTAGTATGAAATACCAGTTCGTATATTTAAATGTAGTTGCAGTATGTTTAAATGAATTGGATTCCGTATGTTTGAATGGCTGGGCGGGCCAAGGAAAACGTTCCCGAAGGTAGTCTAAAATACCTGTTCGTATATTTAAAAATCCGTATATTTAAATGTAGTTACCGTATATGGAATCGGTACCTCCAATAAATCGGTTCCTGTTGCATGGCCATTGAATGGTCCTTAATCCATCTTCTTTTAAATAGATTCTCATCGTGGGATGGATCCTCAAGGCCCGCGTGTGGAGGTGATGGCTGCTAAGTGGCTGCTAAGTTGACGATTTGGTCACGCGTTTTCGTAAAACTTCGTGAATTCTATGGTTTACTCTCTGGTAAACTCACAGTTTGCGAACTGAACATCACCATTGTTACTGGGTAAATCAACGAACTCAATGGCCATTTTCAATAGCTACAATATGTTAGATTACCAGTTAAAGTATGTTAATGTTTATGGGTGATATCAGTGATATCATGTAGCTGAGTTTACAAACCAACGTTCACATCACTGGTCCGTATACCTCCTAGAACAATGCAGGGACGGCCTGGCGCATCCAGCGACCTTGAAATCTGGGTGAAATCTTGGATCTACCCTCTGGTAAACATACAAAAAACTATGAAAAGATCCACCATTTTTAATGGGTAAATCCACTATAAATGGCCATTTTCAATAGCTATGTTAGTTTACCAGAGGGTATGTCATGACTTGGTGATTTGCATTCCTGCTACTTGGTGTGTGGTTCATAAGCATTGTTTTGAACACCAAATAATTTTATAACATCAATGTGAGAACCGACAAAAACGATCTGAATGTGGGATCCCTCCAATTTTTGACAGGGACCCAGCTCTAATTCGGATAAAACCAAGGTTAAACATGGGATAAACCCAGCTATACCTACTAAATGGAGTGTTTTTTCAAGTAGGGATCCGGTTTGATTCGATGGCCAGCCAGCATGGGGATGAAACCAGCAATAAATGGGCAACTGGAGAGGGGTACATGGTTGCTAGCCACTTGATATCGTCCTAAGGTATACTCTTTGCTAATTTGACACAGCCTTGGAAGATTAATACTGTATTCATCATAGGTAAACTCATGTAAATCATATAAACAAGCCGTTTTACATAGCTGTAACTTAATTATTAAATTACCGGATGGTATTTTTTTTAAACGATTTCTTATTCCCATCATGAACGAATCAGTTAGTGAGTGGGCGCGAGAAGACTTCCATATATGGCTCCGTGGTGAACTAGCCACGTCTCTTTTCGGGACAATGTGGGTCTAATGTTGGTACCATCTGGTTATGACTAACAGTTCGCCATGGAATCCATGGCCCTAATCGAAATAGATGATATAGATGATTTTCCCAGCGAACGAAACCTCCATTTATGCTTGGGATTTTCCATGGCTATGTTAAATAACCAGATGCTACATCAATGGGATGCTTTCAACATCTGACAAGCAAATTGTGGATCCCTCAATCTTCAATTTCAATCACCCGCATATCAATTTCAACATCATAGAATCATAGAATTCTGATGTTCTGTTCAAACAATTGGATGATGGGAAAATTTACAGGAAAGCCCGATATTTGATGGTAAAAACCATGGTTTCCTGCAGATTTCCCCTTAAACCAATCCATTGATTTGTGCTTTTCAGGGCTCAAGTATAGTCACCGAGCGTCACAGGGTGAAACCTCACAGCCCTGCTGACTGGCACTCTGCGCCAATGATGCGTGGTGTGTTTCTTTTGTTCACCTGCCATTTCTTGGCGAAGGCGGAAACGACTTGTGCTGCCGACGTGTTCGGAACGACGGGATCGACGGCGTTGGAACTGGATGAAGATCAGTCCTTGGAAATGCTACAATTCAGAGCATCAAAGGACTCAGCTGAGAAGTCAGAAGAGGACTGGGTGCTGACACTTCATTTGGTGACTAGCTTGGGGTTGAGAAGTGATCATATATGCCATGGCTAAGTGACTTCAAAGGGGATAGAAGTGAATTTGAATGGCCTGGGGCAGGGTGTTATTGAAGTGGAAAATCCATGTAGTGGTCAGTGGTGGTTTGATCGGCGTCTTTTTTGATGTGCAGCTTCAGTTCAAGTTACCAGTTACCATAAGGGCGCACATGCTCTGATTTTGAAATGGCAGCAGGGTCCTCATTGTGATCATGACCTTCGCCGACCTGGAAACCTGGAAAATGGATGATCAACAACCAAACCCGCTTGCGTGGTGTAGAGATTTAATTACTGATCTTCACTGTAGATGTCCATTTGAAAGTATCCTAAAATGGGGGATCCCAAAAATGGATGGTTTGTAATCGAAAATCCTATTCAAATGGATGATTTAGGGGTACCCCATATGGTACCCCCACATAGGAACCCCTATTTTTTCCCTATGATTTTTGTTTGGTTATCCCATCCGTTACACCTTGAAACCAGGACTGGGTTCGCTACAATCCACCGGGCTGGCGCGGTGGCCCTGGCCGTGGATATGTCCATCACAATCCCCCTGGATGGAGGGGTGGATGGGGTCATGGCACCACCTATGTGCACCACAACCCTGTCGGCTGGCGCGGAGGATGGGGTCATGGCACTACGGTGTACCATCATCATGGCTATGGCGGTTATGGCTGGGGCCACGGTACTACCGTGTATCATCGCCATGGCTGGCGTTAGGTGTGAAGTCTGAGCGCAGAGGTCAAAAGATCAAGCTGCGAAGTTGTGCTGTTTTTCCGGCTTGGAAGGATTCGAGTGCCAATCCAATTGACAGAGAGGTGTCCAATCCAAACATGTTCTTGGGATGGCTTCAAAACATCTCACAACCCACCAGCCACTCTTGTATGAGAACCCAAAATGGGGGGAAAAACAAACTCAGGCATTTGCAGATGCCATGAATTGGAAACCTTGAGATGGTTCGAGATCAAGTTCTGGCCTAATTCTGTAGAGGCTGCGTGTAACAACTCAAATTTCGGTGATCCATTGCATGTTTGGCTCCAAGATGGCAAACCCAACATCAACATGCATCAACCTTAACCTTGCCAATTTCTGAAGGTTTAAACATGTAAAGTTACAAAAAACATGAAGATCCTGGGTTTGATGTTGAACATGAAACCAAATTTGGGCCTATCATAGCGAGCTCACTGGCCAACGGGTCGCGATTATGGGGGGAAGCCAGCCCCAAAATGGGCCAACATCTTTGCCCAATTACGGTACATTGTTCTGGATGCAACATGACCAGCTAAAGAAAGCCAAACATCTCATGCTACCCCCCGAAAAACCGACGCCCATAATATACTGTATATATAATATAATATAATATATATATATATATGGAAATCGTTTCTCCAGGAAATCATTGGTGGATTTTCCATCTCTATGTCGGTTTACTAGATGGTAATCATTATCATCTATAATATCTATAACTGTTAGCCAATCAATATTTGAACATATTTGAACCATACCAACCATACTATTGTGTCCGGGGTTTCCCAATTTTCGACCCTTGACAATCGCCGAGCGCCATGGCAGCGACAGCAAGTGCGGATCGTGCCGAGACGTCAGTGCCAGCGGATCGCTTTCCTCAGGTGCGACATCAGATGGAGATCCCACCTATCCCACGTATAGTAAATGGGTCAAAAAAAAATATATATATGAAATATCACCATTTATAAATCTGGTTGGTGGTTTGGAACATTTTTTATTTTTCCAGATATTGGGAATGTCATAATCCCAACTGACTTTCATATTTTTCAGAGGGGTTGAAACCACCAACCAGACAAATATGGATAAATGGAATATCCCCATGTATACAAAGAGAAACACACACATATATATATATATGTATATATATATATGACTGGAGATATCCCTGTATATATATATATATATATGGAATGTCTCCAGTTAATATATGGAATATCTCCACTTATATATATATATATATTATTTATGGGATTATATGGGTTATGGATTTCAAACCACTTATGCTCATTTCCAGGTCTCCAACTTGTCAATGGATGCAATAGATGGCAATGCCGCGAAAAGGTGACTGGCATGTTTGAAAACGTGACTGGAATATGTAGCGTTTACCCTCTGGTAAACTAACGTAACTATGGAGAATCACCATTTTTGCTGGGAAAATCCACTATAAATGGCCATGGCTTTTTGTATGTTTACCAGAGGGTAACCTCAACAATGTGAATGTTTCCGTCATGATGATTTCACATTGGAAACCCATGGTTTTGAGGACTGGAAACCTGACCACGGCCTGGACACGTCCCGCAACCAGAATCCTCGCGTTGCAGTCTAACCTGTCTAACCCTGGGGTAAGTGTCCCACGAAACCATTGGTATTAAGTCTAAGAGTCTAACCCTTCAAAAACCCTGGGAAACACCATTTGTAACCACAGGTTTTGCTATAACATGATACAACCAATCGTGTTTCCAGGGTTTCTCAAAGAAGGGCTGGAGATAGCCAGAAATTTGGAAATCACTGGATCGTGGAATCGTGGTATGATGAGTATGGCAGGTCAGATTTCCTGGGACTTATCAATTGCTTGGACTATTTACCCGCTGGTAAATTCACGTTCCCCTATGATGGTCAATGTTTTATTGATATTATATATATATAAAGTATGATACCATTGATATTACTGGGATGATTGATATATATAATTGTATAGTGGGGATATGGTATCATGCTATGATATTATAGTATTGATATAGTGGGAATATAATGGGTTTTACCCTCTGGTAAACAATAAAACCATATACCCTCTGGTAAATTAACGTAGACCCTGAAAAGAACCCATTGTTTGGTGGATTGTTTTTTCTTCCAACCCCTATCTGGCAGGGTCTATGTCAATCTACCAGAGGGTATACAGTATATGTTTCTGAAATTCAATCCAAAATTGTGGGTTCATTATTGGTCCATTTGTGTTTGTTTGAGAGCTATTACCTATACATACTGATCATGCTTGGATGTGCATCCCTGGTAAGTGATTATTACCCGATGTACAGTGACCCACATATATATTTAAACAATTGGATACTTATATGTATATTGTTTATATTATATATATATTATGTAAATATATATATATTATACTTATATATGTAAGATTTATATATTGTACATTTAACCACATATTGGAAGTGGATTTTTTTTGGGTGCCCGAAGCCAAAGTGGAGCCAACGTGGACGCTCAAACCACCAAAACTGACAAAAGTAACAGGGCCGACTAACATAGTAACATAGTACCTGCGTATATCTTCTTAATTTTCAACGTCCACGTTAACGAACTGGAAAGTACAGGGTGATTACTCACTTCGCAAACGGGTTGCAAGGCCACTGATGATATGTTAATCCACCAGGATTGAGATGTACTGTCTGGTAGTTTCACAGTTTGCCACGTGCAATGAATATCGATTATGTTTTTAATATATAGATATATATAGATAATTATGTATATATTAGCCATTGTTATCCACTATGAAAATAGCTATACTTATCTACACATATATACCTGGTTGGTGGTTTGGAATATGTTTTATTTTTGCACAAAAAATGGGAATTCAATAATCCCAACTGACGATTTGTCCATCATTTTTCAGAGGGGTAGGTGGCTCAACCACCAAGTGACGATCTCTCGCGAGGCATGGGATCGAAGCCTTGTTCCTACCGGAGGTGAGCGTTTACAGATTTGCGAACTGGAAAATCATACTGTTGAATAGGGAAATCAACTATGAATGATCATTTTCTATAGCTCTGTTGGTTGACCAGAGAGTAGATGATAGATTGAAGATGATAGATCTAAAGATGATATATATATATAACTTATATAACACATATATATATATATGTATATATATATATATATATCATGATCTATCACATAACTTAAATCTATTTCACATCTTCAAAGAAGATATCTTCGTGTGTGTTTCTCTTTTCGTGGAAAGCCGGCGGCTTTCAGCAGCAAAAAACCGGAGGGTTTTTTTCCACGAAATCACCATCCAGTGGTTAGGAGGGAGTGGTTCGGAGCTAGGTCGAAACATACCCTCTGGTAAACATATATACAAAAACGATGGAAAATCACCATGCTATCAATGGGTAAATCCACTATTTCTATCACCATGCTATCAATAGCAAACTGTAAACGTTTACATGTCGAGGGTCCATCATACCAACACAAAATGGTCCCTGCGGAGCTACAAATTGAGTTTGAAAAAACCACTGATAGATTCATTGAATCTCCGGCACATTGAATCATTGGGTGCAGAAGCATACCCTCTGGTAATTTGACATAGCTGTTGAAAATCACCACTATAAATGGCCCATTTTCGCTATGTTAAGTTACCAGATGGTAATTAATCAATTACCATTTCAGGAACCGATTTATTGGAGGTACCTACCATATATAAGGCCTATAAAAGGCCTATGTAAGGGAAATTCCCATTGATTATTGTTGGTTTTTCAATGGCATTTAACCAAACCATTACATATTGCTTCAGGTTGGCCAAGGATCTTTGAAAAATATTATATAAGGCCTTAATTTCAGGGAATATCCCATGAAACTTCGACGTGATTTGCCGAGCCTTGGGGAGGGAGAGCTTTGGGGACATGAGGGCTCCCCGCATGAAACCATCGAAGTTCCCTGTGGTTAATGGTGGTTAATGGTGGTTAATGGTGATTAATGGTGATTAATTGTGATTAATGGTGAACTTGGATGATTTCCCTAACCCAAGCATTTTGTCACAGTTTTTTGGGATTATAAAGATGCTAAATGATAACAATCAAGCATATTCAAACTGGGATTAGTTCTCTAAAATCAAATTTGGACCTCAGTTTTTGAGATTTTAGAGGGATTCTGGTTTTCATCAAATATCACATGAACTATTTGGGATTCTCTGAAATTGTGGGACCCCCATATTGGCAAAACATGGAAAATTGGGTATACCTATATTATTTGCTTATATCATTTCCCTTGTTAAGATTGCAATAAATGGGGAACATCCCACATTTTCAGACACACCCAAATATCATATTAATTTCGTTGGTTGGTTACAGTATATCCCATCATTTATATCCCAATTAAATCCAATATAATCCCTTGGATTCTTGGAAAATGGTCCACGCCAAAATTTATCTCGGCAACTTGGGGCTCCACTAGATTTGATCATCTTAGCCATTAAGAATTCTCCGTTTTCCCATCTCATGAAATACTGGTTGAAAACGGTTTCCCATTCCTATGGCTTATTTCATAATCCCCAGTGGTTTCCATAAATGGTGACACCCCCCTAGCTGGATGGTTTTTTAAGGGAAAATCCGACATTAAGGTGGATGATTTGGGGGTACCCCTATATTTTAGAAAACCCCCCCAGTAAAAAATCCCATCTCATGAAATACTACAGTTGGTTGAAAACAGTGTCCCATTCCTATCTGGTTGGTGGTTTGGAACATGACTTTTATGACTTTCCATTCAGTTTGGAATTTCATAATCCCAACAGACTTTAACTCCATCATTTTTCAGAGAGGTAGGGCTCAACCACCAACCAGCTATGGCTTATTTATTAATCCCCAATGAAGTAAGTGAATCTAGTGAAGTAGTGTAGTTCCAAGAAATTCACCAAACACCCAGGGTATTTTGTTGCTCTGAATAGTGGAGGTGCTGCTTCG